AACAATAAAAATAATATTTAAAAAATACTAATACAAATACTAATAATACTAATAATTATAATAATACATTCAATAACAAGAATGCATGTTGTTATTGTTATATTGTTATCGTTATCTTTTAATGTTAATCACCATTCTATAATAAAAGGTGGGGCCAAAGTTCTGCCAACAAAGGCTCTTTTGTGACAATACCAACCGTTAAGGAAAAATACACATTACAAAAACAAATGTTAGCCAATAATCCAGCGTGGGGCTATTTTAGAAGCTTGAAATGCGCGGTGTAATTAGATCTAAATCAGTTTCTGAAATAATTATCACATTGCCGCCGAAACCTGCATTTCTGCCATAATGGGACCGTAAGACGTGTTTTTGATTGACCCACGTTTGATTCACTATGATATCCGTCTATGTTTCACATGCCGACGACCCGGATATTTTTAGATCTATCGAAACCTATTTGAAAGTGAAGGCAGAAAGTGAACTAGATTCTAGAGAGTGTTAGTCTTTCTTTAGTCCTACAGTTTGATACACGTGCTCAACAGAGGAGTTGTAGGCCTGTTCCCTTGCCAGTCTTGGAAGATCTAGATCTATACATGAGCACAAGGTAAACCAACTAGATTACACTTTTTCTCCGTTCGTAGAACGGTCACAACGGGTATTTTGCTAGATTAGATCTAAATTTAGATCTAGATCTAGAATCTTGTAGTACAAAATCTAGATCTAGATCTAGATTCCAAATCTAGATCTCTAGATCTAATAATAATAAGGGGGCTCTCGTGGTCTAGATCTAGATCTAATAATAATAAGGGGACTCTCGTGGCCTAGATCTAGAGGTTAAAGTGTTGGCGTTTTTTCGGTAGTTCCCATCCTGCAATTTTATTCACGGGTTTGGGCCACAAGAGTAGGGGGGTTTCAGGGGGGCTTGCCCCGCTGACCTAATAAAAATCAAACGTATAGATCTAGATCTAGATGTAGGTCAGGCTCAAATAAGGGGGGTGGGAACTACCGAAAAAGCACCAAAGTGTTTGTCTCTCATTCAAAGGTCCCGGTTTCGTATCCGGGTAGCGACTGAAATTTTTTCTACTAATCTGCTAAAATTGTCTCCTTTCACCTTCTGTCCTTCTCTCTTGCAATATTCTGTCGTCTGCTTTTGACTGTCTCCACTTTCTGCCTCCACCCCCTCGCCTCCTTTGCCCCCTCCACTGGGCTCCTGATTCTTTCTACAGCCTTTCTACTGCTACTCCTTGGCTCCTTCTTACTGCTGTCTTTCAGCCACACCCCTGATCTTCTGGTAGGAAAGATCTACACCTAGCCCTCTCGGACAAGGGCGAAAAATCTCGGAGATCCCGTCTGCAAGTTGCGCAGGTTAAAGATCATTTGGTGGTCCAAAATCGATAATAGATAATCTAGATATCTAGTAGGTTTCGGCGGGTACTCGGCCAAAATTCAAAATTTCCTACAAACTGAAAATATTCAATGTACCCCGTGCTCCCATATGGAAGTATCCACCTGCCTTGCCAGGTGAGGGTGCTGAGGGAAAAGAGGTAGCTGGTAGGCTATCACTAAACCTTGTTACACAAAGATACCAGGTATCACTAAAACTTGATACACAAAGATACCTGGTACATGTATCGTTAAGGTAGGCTTATGCACGTCCCTTGCCAGGTGAGGGTGCTGAGGGCAAAGAGGTAGCTGGTATCACTTAAACCTTGCTACACAGAGATACCTAGTATCACTGAAGATACCTTGTATCACTAAAGTATCCACGTATCTTGCCAGGTGAGGGTGCTGAGGGCAAAGAGGTAGATCTAGCTGGTATCACTTAAACCTTGCTACACAGAGATACCTAGTATCACTGAAGATACCTAGTATCACTGAAGATACCTAGTATCACTGATATCTAGTATCACTGAAGATACCTGGTATCACTAAAGTATCCACGTACCTTGCCAGGTGAGGGTGCTGAGGGCAAAGAGGTAGCTGTTCCGTAGCGTGAAGCTGTTGCGAGCGCCGCGGGGGTCCTTGTCGGCGGCCACGTTTCCCCACTCGTAGGGGCTGAACTTGCCGATGATGAAGAAGACGATACCGATGAGGAGAAGGACGACCATCACCATGATCCAGTAGTCTGAGGGGTGGAGGGAGGGGGAGGAGGAGGAGGGGGTAGACAGATGATACAGGAAGGTTAACACACAGCACATGACACACGACACATAGATCTAATACACTACACGGGCTGATCAACACACAACACACAATATGAGGCACTCAACACGCAGCACTCAAAACAGAATACGGGCCGCTAAACACACAGTCACAGTCTGGGTTTTTTTACCGACTTGTTTTTTTTTTCAACTACTTTGTTGGGTAAATGCTTTCTTGTTCTTAAATTAACACACACACGCACACAGCGTGCCACAAATCAACAAGGTCGACACTGCAATGAACACGATTTGATGATGAGAAGAAAGGGGACACAATCCTACACAGACACATAGTAGACACTTCAGACCTCGGTTCTCTCCACTTGCCCCTCCATGTCTCGTGTCGACGAGCCAAGGGTTGAAAAACCGCAAAAATTTTGAAAAAATCGTTGTGCATACACACACTCACGCACACACAGACACACAGACACACACTCACACACACACACATACCGTGACACAAATCAACAAGGTTGACACTGCAATCAACACGATTTGATGATGAGCAGAAAGGGGACATAATCCTGCAACAGACATTAACACTTCAGACTTCGGTTCTCTCCCCTTGCTCCTCAATGTCACAAAAAGAATTGTCACATTCTTATGCATACACTAGAGGTGTGCGAGTCCAGCATATTAAGATTCGAGTCCAGACTCGAGTATCTGCTCTGGACTCGAGTAATTACTCGAGTAATTACTC